TTGCAACCACTAGGCTGTTTAGGCTGTTGAAGTTGCCATAGATCACGAGGGGTGTAGTTGAGCCTCTGACTACTAGAGACCGGTTATATGACATAATGCCGTCCATGAATTTGGTTCACCAACATAGATACACCTCTATACCAAATGTCATAAACAGCCATAAGGTATTTTAAAATTTAGAAGTTTTGCCATAGATCACGAGGGTTGTATAGTTGAGCCTCTTGACTACCAGAGACCGGTTATTTGACATCATGCCATCTATGAATTTTGTTCACCAACATAGATACACCATCTCTATAGCCAATGTCATAAACAGCCGTAAGGTATTTTAAATTTTAAGGATGCAGTTGCCTCACTTCTGTGGGATGTAACCAACTATCACCAAGCCTTGACTTGTATGAGCTTATTTCTGTAAACTAGTGTCAGCTGATTTTAGGTAGTTAACCCCTGTCCTGGTATTTGTGCTCTTTCCAGTGCTGCTAGAAAGACTGTGTCACTGGAGTGGCTGCAATACGGTGTATCGCCGCTTCTTCGGTGACCTCATTTTTTAGTGTTCATCAGATTGGCCAGTGCCACCAATCATATGGGCATTAGTTGCTTGTTCTTGTATGTTGTGGCAGCTTTTCGAAGCAAGCACCATCACTGTGATGGGTCCACTATCCTATGGTTTCACACTACGTGGCATGATTACGTTATGAGCAACACATTTTGATGTATACTTCCATCCTGTGGGTGCATGTTTGCTGCCTTGGCTGATACTTGGCTTGCTCCTCTATGAAAGGTTGTAGTGGCCAGCACCATCCAGTGTCCGGAGTTTTACACGTATGATGCTCTCCACAGAGCGTATATCCGTTCTTTGGTTGAGGGCTTCCGCAGAGTGATCCGTGTGTCTCTGGGTTGATAACTCCATTCCACAGGGTACCACCATACACTGCCCTGGCTTCGTTCTGGCTGTTGCATTTCTCGCTCTTCTGTTGGGAAGTCCAATACTTGCTGTCAAAGAGTTGTGGGAAGAATCCGTGCTCGTTCTTGGTCACGTAATCTCAATTTGTGGTGTTACCCATTTGATTTCTAAATGGATTTTTCTTGGCTTGGCACACTGAGTTGTTTTTGTGCTCCCCGAAGTTGGGTGATTGATGTGTGTTGGTCTGTGTGGTGGTAGTGGGAGCAGCGGTAACGGATGGGGTGAGGATGAGGGGAGGCACTGCTCTGTGTGTGTGGATGCCTTCATGTCAGGTAGTTCTTGGAATTGTTTTGTGTCTTCATTTCTCCGGGATGGCGTGCGATTCCTTGTCCTTGTATGTTGCGGCAGCATTTTGGAGCAAGCACCATGTATGCGATGGATCTCCGTCCTATGATTTCATACTCCGTGGCGCGACGTTTTCTCATGATTAGAAGTTGTGATCATCACAATTTGATAAATGCGTCCATCCTCTGGGTGCATGTATGATGCTATGCTTTATGGTATGTTGCTACCCATCCTTTTTCTCCAACTGTCGGGCCTTGCTTTTGCCTCCACAGAGGAGCCTATGTGCTCATCCTCATAGTCTTTCTGCTGCTGTGTCTTTTTCTTGTGATATTTTCTACCTGTGTGCTTTTTTTCTCTGCCCTACTTGCAGCTGCAGTATGATGTTAGCTCAGACTCATTCGGCTGGTAATTTGTGTCTTTCTTTGGACACCTCTTTGTGTTCATACTTTCTTCCGGCAGTATGACTGATATATGTTCTCATCCTGCACTCCTGCCTGTTGTTCACAGCACCATGACCTCTGTTATATATGCGATGCTTTAGGCCCACCTTTCTCCTGTCAGATGATTTTTATTCACCCCTCATTAATCTGGTTTCTGATTTGCTGTGCCAATCTTCTGCACAGAGCCACCACATAGTACATTGTGCTGTGTACTTCCTCCTCTTCCTCCTCCCGCTTGTCCCCCCTCCTACTCCTGTGTGCTGCTGTTGCACTCCTCTTGGCTTCACAAGTGTACACCAATAAGATCACACGGACACCATGGACCAGACACCTGACATTTTCTAAAGACTAATGCAATTGCGCCAGTCCTCTCTGCTCTGGAGTCTTTTTCTTTTCCCTTCCTGATGCAATCGCGTGTTCGTCATCTCCTCTTGTGATCCTTTGACAGTCAGTATACAGGTTGAAGAGGAACCTCTCCATTTGTATGCCTCTGTTCTTCCCATTCACTGACTGAGGGAGTACCAGTTGTCTCACTCCATTTCTGTCATGTGATTTCCCTTATTGACCTGCACTGCTTAGTTGCGCATGCTTGTCTCATGAAGCCAGGATCAAGGACTCTCTCCTGTTTTGTTGTCCGCTGGTTACCCGGTCTACCCTCTCCAATTTGAATTGGTTTGTTCTATACCCCTTGCATGACCCTTTGGAGCTTGAACCCTTGGGTGACCGCCTCATATGCTTTCCTGCCATGCTGGTTTGTCTTTACCTCCTGTCTAGTTCCCTCCTTTCCTGTTTTGTTCCATCCTTGTTTCCCTCCTCTCTTTTCTCGTGTCTCTGCTGTCTATCTTGAGCACTCCACCCTCTTTCCTTGTGGAGGTCCATTGTACTCTATCATCGAACATGGAGATCGGTGCTGTTTACCTCTTCCTTTTGAGAGTAGTATGCTTGATGCAGTCAGTGGCATGGTATCAACTTGCAGTCGTTAGATTGTAAGGATGGTTTCCAGCAAAAACCTGTGAGAAAGTCATTGGCATGGTCGAGCTTGCAATTCAAACAGAGGTTTTTGGCATTTGAGCACATCGAACAACTATCTAGGCTACCTCGGCTAGCCGTTACCTCCAGTCCCACCATGTCGCTCACCGTGAATAGGAGGGGGGCGTGCTTGCGAAGTCCGAGTCAAGGGTTGGAACTTCTTGGGGAAAACAAGGCATAGGAGCTTGCAGTTTCTAGTGGGCAGGGTTTGGAGGTTGGTAGATGTTTTGGAGGTCACCACTCCTTAAGATAGGCAAGGGACCTGGTGATTTCAAACTAAGGTGCGGGGACTGGGATTTCTTGAGAACTGGATGGGGCAGGAAGGGAGGGAGGGGGTTGCTTGTGATTCCCAGGGATGGGGATTGGATTTTTGAAGAAGACAAGGATGACTAGTGGGAAGAGCCAGAGAGAAATGAACAGCTGGGAAGGCAGGGGAGTTGGCATGCTGGGCTAAGGGTGAGTCGCATGGCCTGGGGGTAGGTGTGGGTTGCGATTACGGCCGGGCAGCGGGCTCGCCATTTCGAAGCAAGGGTTGCTGGTCGGGTAGGGCTGTTGCAGCAGGAGAGGGGGGAGAAGGGGAATGTGATTTGCAGACATGGGGGGATGTCTGCAATTTCCAAGCAAGAGTGGTTGGTGGGGTAGGGAGGAAGATATTGTTGCAACTTTGGGGCAGGGTAGAGAGCTGTGATTTCTGCCAGGAGGGGGAAGGGTTGCAATTTCTGAGCAGGGCAGGGTTTGCTTTCTAATGAGAGGGTGGGGGTTGATGAGGGAGGTTGTGATTTCCAGGAGAGGGAATGATATTTTGATTCCAAGGAAAAGGGTTGTGTTTTACGAAGAAGAAGAAAAAGATGAAGAAGAAGAGGAGCAGGAGGCGGCGGCTGGCAACTGCAGTATTCTTCTGTCTGACATTTTGGTCGCCTCTTTTCATGATGCTCGGTCCCCCAGCACAAAGATGAACAACGCAACTGAGATGACGATGGCGACATTGATATTGACTATGCTGATGATGGCACCGCTCTTCCCCAAACTTATGCCAATGTTGCATTCACTGGCACGCCCAGGAGCTTAATAATGAATGTCCAGATGAGGACGAGGAGGAAGCTGCACTTCGTAGTTCCCCCAACATCGTGATGCCATGGGGAAAGCTTGGAGGGAAAAAGGGTCTGCTGAGTTGGAGGTTATCCCCATGGCAGAGCACTAAGGGAGACGGCTTTGGTCGGGACCCTCGAACATGGCCCCCATCTTACATCTCCACTGCTTGTTGTGACCAACCCAATCTGACCGGCAACCTTGGCAGATGAACAGCCGTTCTGGTGTGGCTGGCCAGTAAAGAGTGGCAAGAAAGTTCCCTTGGCAGCTACCTACAGGCCCTCCCCAGGCTGCTGGAGTCAGGTTGCCCAAAGAAAAGGTCCCTGGCACTTTGCATGAGGGTCATCTGGGAATCCAGGTTGTACCGGCTGGACTGTGTTGTTCAGCAGGTAGCTCGCCACGACTTACCAAACTTGTCACACCAACTCGCTTGCTCTGGCAAGTCACCTCAGGTTCTTAAAGATGGCAGTAGAGGTAGCATATCGAACAGGATGGTCTTGCAACTGCCTCATTGCCATTGTTACGGACTCAGCCAGGGCTCGATCCCTGGTCTGCGGGTTACCACCCGCCAAGCTGCAATTTTTTTTTTTTTGAGTCCCTGATCTCCGTTTCCTCACTGTTGGCGCCCTCTGCAGTTGGCGCCCGTTCTCAAATCCCCCCTCCCGTACTTTCGGATTTCGATACTTGGTGCCATCCGGCATTCTGGCGCCCAGGCTCAGACCTTCGATTTTCAGTTCAGCCTCGAGGCAAATTGCACTTCTGCCCTCGGACTCAACTCGAGTCCGGTACGGGGATTCAGTTCTCGGCCTCAGTGCTTGTGCTTCAGTGTGACTTGCTGCGACAGTGTGCTCGGAATCAAGATTGCGACTTTGCGACTTTGCCACTTTGTGTTTGTGTCCGTCGAGTCGTGTTGAGTCCGCGTCGAGTTGAGTGAGTGTGTGTGTGTGCTCTCACTCCCTCCCTCTCTTCCCCGACCTCGCTGCTTCGCCTCAGCCTCGTCACACTGGTATCGTAGCGGCTTCGGCCCTCCCTCCTGCCCTCGCCTATCATCGTCGTCGTGGACCCCGTCGCCGTCATTGCCATGTCATTGACATCATCGTTACCTCGTCACCGTCGACGTCGCCATGTCATCGCTATCGTCGTCTCCGTCATCGCTATCGTTGTTTCCGTCGTCGCTGCCACGTCATCGTCAGCGTTGCCTTGTACCTGCTGCCACGTCATCGTCACCGCCGCCGCTGCCATCGCCGATGCGCAGGTAAGTTACCAGCAAATTTTTATTCTTTCTTTCTCTTCTTTCTTCTCCGCATTTCTTCTTCTTCTTCTTCATTTCTTCTTCGTCTTCCTCATCGTCGTTTCTCCCTCTTCCTCTTCTTCTTCTTTCCTCCTCTTCTCCTTCCCCACCCATCCTCTCTTCCCCCCGCTGCCTACCCAGTCCCATTTCCCGCCCTCCCACGACTTCGCGATCCCTGCGCGATCCCTCCACCCTTCCCGACCTTGATTCCGGCACGATTCCCCACCAATTCCCCGATCCCGACTCCCCCGACTCCCCCCCGACCCCCATTCCGCGCCCTTACCCCGACACCAAACGGGATCCCCTTCCCCCGATATTCCCCCCCGCTGCGCGCTACCCCCCGTCCCCCGACCCCGATCTCCCTCCCCTGTCAGATCCCTCCGCTCGTTCCCCTCCCCCAGCGCGATCCCAGTCCCCCTCCCTACTCCTCGATCTCGACCCCGTTGTCGAGCGCATCGGTCCGGCACTGCACGGGGCAGCGTGGGACCCTCCCGGCCGCGTCACGCAGGAGTTGGTTTAAATCCTTCGTCGCAAATATACATGGAGCTTCCGCAAGCCGCTCCGGCCGAGTGCGCCAACCATACCTCCCGCGAGTCCCCACGACAGGATAGGGCCTACGCGAGGCACGACTCACCTCCACCTTACGGGAGTTGTCACCTCCCTTCGGTGGGCGTATCCCCGCCGAGCTACCAGTCCACAGTAAGAAAGCTGATCAGTTGCAACCGCAGAGGTGGACCAGCCAAGGGCGTTTCTCGTTCGCTGTAGCATAGGGGGTACGCGCGGTAATACGCCTCTATCGGACCCGCACGCGAACCGACATCTTGGGGGGCTGAGGGCCCAAGCGCGACTCGTCGCCGGTCGACTAGGACGCATCCCACTCACCACGCTCACACTACTCTACGAACAAACAAAAAAAAAAGAATGCACGCACATATACACGAAACGACACAACACAGATGACGCGACAACGCTCCTAATCCCTCGGTAGCCATCCCATAACTTTCCAAGGCGGAAATCGGATAGGCGACACATGCGAGACTTAGTATAAAACCGTGCGGACGCAGAGCCTACTGATATCGACTAGCAATGCAGGCATACGCAAGCAGTCGCAATGGTGGCGTACTATGTAGTACCCATACTCATGCGGTCCTCGTTAGCCTCGAGGGTCGCATTCGACACTCAAGTGTCGGCTGACATGCGCTTTGAGGATTAACCTCTCGACGCTGGACAACCGCCAAGTGCGGTTGAAGACCACACACCCTCTTCTGCACCCTGTGCAGAGTGGGTGGTACACAGGTCCATACCTGTGGTGGCAGTCGTTTCTTACTGCCCTGGAGATGAGCCCTACTCCAGGCCTGGGAAGGAGTCAAGGGGTTTGACTTTGACGGGTGCCACAGACTACGACGTCCAACCATGATATCTAAAAAAGCAAATGCAGGCCGAAGGCCTCCGCGCCCTGAAATCACAACTTGGGTAACCTCGTTTTTCTTTTGGTTGGCACCACGACCTACACCACTACTGAACTGTTATGCATGTGTATGAATCCCTAGATCCCATAACTTAGACATTAGGGCGGCGAAACGTCGCGCGCAAGGCTTTGATATAAAGTTGCGCGGTTGCGGGCCTGTCCTATACTAACCAGCGATGCTAGTCATACGCGGTAAGCGCAGCTCCGGCCTCGCGATATTGAATGGCTGAAGGAATGTATCGTGAGGGGTTGCCCCTCACGATATTGAACGGCTGAAGGACATGCCGTTTGGCCCTCGCGACATTCCTGCCCTCAGGGTTGGGTGTCTTGGTGGGCGGAGCAGATAGGCTCTGCGCGAGGGAAGGCTCCTCCTCTGCGGAGCTTAGGCCTTGGGATGTCCTACACAAGGACCTTGAATCCCGGCCCAGGACCAACGTCCGACTAAGAAATTAGAAAAAGTATACAATCAAGAGGAAGGGGTTTTCTGCCTACCTGACCTCGATTTAACCCTTAATACGCTGGCCCCTTGGGCCATGCGAACTTCCAACATAGGTACACACACATATATATATATATAAGGGGATAAGTATGTGACGACCACTTCTCACAGTCGCAGCGGGGCTCCTCACAACCATATGTATATGTGTGATCGCAGGCAGTCAAATTCAAAATCTGAGCCACAGAACATACATGCAATCACATCAAAAGTCCAGCAAGAGTCCACGCACTACACAGAGTCAACCCCAACCACTCTCTGTACTCATACCCCTCGCTTTAGCCATGCAAGCCCCAACCTCCAGCCAACCGACCATAATTAAATACTCGGCACGTTTGTTAAATGGCCATTCAATAAAAGTCCAGGTGAAACCTTAACAAAACATTGAGATCACCAGGGCTAAAGCCTTTTAGGTTGAGTACTGAGGGTGAATTGGAATCGAGTCGTAAACCGACGAATCGGCAACCGATCTGTTCTCAATGATATCAGAAGATGACCCTCAAGGGATCGAGCTGGATCTAGTCCAAATCCTGAATCAGATCGATCAAGTTGGCCTGTAACACAAGACAGGTCAATGCCCAAGACTAAACTTGTAAGTCCTATGGGGAATAGCCTCTATGTCGTTATCTCCCCCCAACTCCTGCTAGCCAACCAGATCTAAGTCTACTTCTTGGCCAGCGCCCAAGGAAAAGATAGACCTTTGGCTGGATCTCCTCTATACAGAGTGGATTGCCACAACTGCCACCTGTTAGAGTATAATCTAACTTCTCTAAACTAAGAAAATTTTGGCAGCGCTTCCCGAAGGAAAGGTGCCTTTTCAGAATTTCTATCAGCTTGGATATGAAAACCAAAGTAGTCTTTGACTTTAATTTTGGATTTGCAGAAATTTCGGCAGCGCTTCCCGTAGGAAAAGTGGCTTACCAAGATTTATACAAGCCCAAGTATAAGAAAGGACCTTAGATAATGCAAAATTTAATCTAAGTAAAAAAACTATCACAGAAAATGCAGGAATTGAATCTAACTCATATTGCTTTAGCACGTGGCGAGCCACTAAAGCGACTACCTATCAAGCTGAAGCTCAGACTAAGTTGTGATCTCATTCAGCCATATGCAAGCCAAACCACAAAGGTAAGTACTCTCACCAACCCAAATTGACCTAGCAAACAATAGTTCATAGCCTTTCAATGATTTAATCCCTTATACCCTGCTTACATAGGGCATTGAGGTTGGCCATTCATCTTAGAAACAATGCCAACCCTTTGCCTTAGTTATACATGAACAGGTTGCACAACTACTTTTCTCTTCATTGGGCATATGACTAAGCCATTCGTCTTAGAAACAATGCTTAGTCGCCCTGAACTCTTTAAATAGCCAAGTTATATATACTTCTCTGAACTTAGTCTTCGCAAGTGGGCGTAGGACTGAGCCATTCGTCTTAGAAACAATGCTCAACCTGCCCAAATTACCTTCAGTTATAACTCTTAATTATACTCTCTTTGTTTGTGATAAGGCTATAGCCAGACCATTCGTCTTAGAAACAATGTCTGGCTAGCCTTGTGCTTATATATATATATATATATATATATATTCTGTTTGTGACGATATATATATATATATCGTCACAAATAGAACTGCCCGGTAAATCGTAGGCACAGAGAGAGAAGAGGACAACAAACGAGTCGGTGAAACTCCGACGAAACAGTTTGTCACAGCCCCTCGTTTGTTGTCCTCTTCTCTCTCTCTGCCTACGGTTTTACCGGGCAGTTCTGTTTGTGATATATACGGTTTACCGGGCAGTTCTATTTGACGATATATATATATATATACTGCCTACGG